GCCTCAAATATGGTTATCAAGATTATCAAATCACACCTCTTATTCCTGGCTTCCAGAATAGGAAAATATTACCAATATTATATACGGCTAGCTAGTTTCAATGGCAGAAAGTGGTATGAAAAAACATCACTGTATTCATAGTCCTAAACAAAAACAATCTGGCACTACCATAAGAAAAGTAAACTTTTTTAAAGTTTATTTATTTCTTTTGAGAGAGAAAGAGGGAAGGGCAGAGGGAGGGGGTGAAAGACAGAATCCCAAGTAGGCTCTGCACTGCCTGATGCTGTGTACAGCCTGATGGGGGGCTCAATCCCACAAGCCATGAGATCGTGACCTGAGCCAAATCCAAAAGTTAGATGCTCAACCAACCTTTTTAAGGCCTACTTCAATTTCTCAGAAAAGCAAAGATTTTTCACAAGCCTGAACTGTCTGAAACTAAGTCACTCTTCTTAAGATCTCATACACAAAATATTCTATAAACTACAACATTAAAACCATTTATGTAGAGGCCATCCTTCTAGGCACCTCAGCCATATAGTTTACGATCCAGCCCAGAAATAAAGCATGAGAACAGCAAGTATTTGTCACAAAGTCCACAGGCTTTATACTCAGGCAAGAGCCCACATCATTTCACAGAAGAAGTAAAAAAAAAAAAAAAAAGACAACAGATAATATAGCAGCAAGACTCACTCACAACTTGACAGTAGAAAGTGATAGCTGATAACAGAAAGAGGACCCAGAAAAACCATAAAAGGAAGAATGGTACTTCTGTCTCCAATCTAGTATTTCAACAGGGCAGACTAAGCCCATTTACTATAAACAAAAACAGCTCTATACACCTCAACGAATAGCACTATTCAATTCTTTATGAATTCATGCTCATAAAAACAATCCAACAGAAAAAGCAACTTAAATCCAGGGAAGCAAGTAAGAGTGTAAGACTCAGAAATTAGTTCTTTGTTTTAAGAGCTGAATTTTTAAGTTTCAGTAGTTAATTACATGAGGGCTCAGCTATGAGAAAATGCACTTATCTAAATAAGCAACTACCCATATGGTATCAATATCCATAAATTACGTACAATTATATATTATAAAAAACAAAAGTTATTATTCTCCTAGCACATTCTGAAAATCTAGTGTGAATTAAATAGCATCAAATCAATATTATCTGATAAATAACTAACTTTAAAAAGGAGTTTGATAATTGGCAATGTGGTTATTTTCTTCCTGTTATCAATATTTAAATGGTAATTAAGCTGATAAGGTACCTTGAAATGTTTTCAGTAATTCAGATTAAACATTAACTGTGAAACTCTTTACACAAACAATAGATTTTACAAAAAATAAATTTTGTTGTAAATATCTTTTTTTACTCCACCAATTTACTTATCCTAATGCAACAAGCATAAAGCTCTGGAAATTATAGATTGAAGGAGAGTTTAAATCTCTACAGTAGTTTTAGCCAGAAAAAGTCAGAAGTATTGTTTCTACTCAGTTATGCCCAGCTACTAATACACTATTCAGCTTTTACCAAATGTCAAGGCACTTTGCTTCACTGTCGTTTTTTAGCAGTGCTATGACACTAAATCACACAACACTAGATGTCAATTTTATTTTGTGGGTGGCAGGCAAATCAAACAATACCAGAGTATTTTTTACCACTGGAATTAATCTAGAATAGATGCTGAACAGAGTTCTGTTCCTAAAGCAAAACCTCAAACTAACCGCCAGTAGATAGCTTCTATAGGAGAAAACTAAATCCACTCTGGGACTGGGGGAAAACAAAAACAAACACAAAAACAAAACCTGCTGATTTATGATTTTACTCAGTTAACAAAGTTCTGAATTCCCTTAGCATATAACATTGAGGTGCATGACTCTTCAATTAATGTAAAAACCTCCAAAGTGTGATTAATTCTAATATGATTAGAATACCAGCTTAAAAGGATTTTCTATCCTTCCTACAAATGGCAATTCTCCTCTCCCCCCTACCCGCCAAGGATATAAAGAACAGCAATTCTGAGTGGAGACTGTTTTCGGAACATGAAATTGCCAGAAAAAGTAAGGTTTGGCATAAAGCCAAACAGCCACACCTTCGGGCCATTAATCTTGAAAAATTCATTGTACAAGGTGACAGCCCGGGGGATTGAGGCATTTTAGAGTAGTGCTGCTTGTTTGTTTGTTGTTTGATCTTTTCTGGGTGGAACCCACCTCAAATAAAAGGCTGTCCCTATTACTAAGACTGACTCACGACAGAGGTGACTCGGGGTCACTCCCGGTTGAGAACGCCGCTCACCACCGTCCTCGTGTGTGATTCGCCCTCTCCTTCTTAAAAATGGCTACTTAACACATGGGGCGCCTGGGTGTCTTAGTCGGTTAAGGGTCCGACTTTCGCTTAGGTCATGATCTCGCGGTTCGTGGGTTCGAGCCCCGCGTCGGGCTCTGTGCTGACTGCCAGCTCAGAGCCTGGAGCCTGCTTCAGAGTCTGTGTCTCCCTCTCTCTCTGACCCTCCCCTGCTCACGCTGTCTCTCTCTCCTAGAAATAAATAAAACATTAAAAAAAAAAAAAAAAGAATGGCTACTTAACACAATCTAGCCTTCCAAAGAGTCGGTCTTCGGGACACCCAGAAGTTCTCCCACCTTCTCCCCTCCCCCGTGTCCCGGTATGTTTTAAGGTGATGGGAAAGATACAGAGGCGGTTCCTTCCCCAAGGAAGTGCTGCAGAGTAGTACATTCACCCCACGCAACTTTATACACCTGAAATTAAACCAGTGAGTTTACACATACAGGTTGGGGACGCCCTTCGCCGCCTCTGCCTGTCCTTTAACCCGTCGCACTGCACGTACTTTCGCCTGCCGACGCGGCTCGCCCCGGACAACCCCTAATCAAGCACCCCAGGCCCCCTCGCCGCTCCGCCAGCCCGAGAAAGGCGCCCTACTTCCCGCAGCGCGTCCTTCTCTCGACTCGTTCCGAACCTCAGCAGCCTGCACAGGCTTCTGCAGCGCCAGGGCACGCCGCAGGGCTCCGTCCGCCGCGCGGGAAAGCGCGCGCAGCCCGGCCACCCCGCACGCGCCCAGGGGGTCGCGCGGCCACGCGGGCTCCGCCAGAAGCTCCAAGGTTCCGAGAGAGTGGGAGCGAGCGTGCGAGCGTGGGCGTCCCCGCGCGCGCGGGCAGCCCCGAGACGCTCCCCGCCCCCAACACATCCAGTTCGCCTTTAGGGAGAGGACGAACTAGAAGACTGTCGGGAGAGGTCCGAAACCTCCCGCACCCCATCCCTGCCCGCAGCCGCTCGGGCCTCGGGGCTTCCCCGATGCCCGTCCCTCCAGGGTCAAGTGCAAAGTCCTACACCAGATCCGCGCGCAGGTATCTCTTCCCGTCTCTCTCCAAGTTCACACACAAATTCGAGGAGACCCTCAAACCGGTGCCATATGGGAGAGGGAAGGAGTACAGAAGCGACCGAGGGTAGCTGGGAAAGGTCTCTCTCACAGCCCCACAACCTTGACCTTTCTCCCTGCCCCCCAACCCCACTCCCCCATTCCCTATTTCCTTCAGCCCAGCCCCATCTGCACTTTCCAATCCCGAACCCCCCCTCTCCCCCCGCCCCTGGATCGTAGCCATTCGCTAAGCACTCACCTCTAGGAGCGAACGACGCCCATCTCCTCCTCCCAGCCCGCCCCCCTTCGGCCGGCTGGAACGGCGCGGTCCCTCTACTCACCTCGGCTCCTGGCTGCTGCGCGTGAGTTCGAGTGTGTGTCGGCCGCGTAATTGTATCCGGGGACAGAAGGGACCCGTGTTTGTGCGCTAGATCAGGTGTCGCCGCCTTCGGCGGTTTGGGGGCGTGAGGGAGGCTGTAGCGTTAGTGCGTTAGCTTAGGACGGACTCACAGGGCTCACGATTGATGGCAAAGCTTTAACGGTGCCCTCCCTCGGGGCCGCAGCGCGCCTGCTCCTCCGCTGCTCCCCGCGGGCGGCCGCCCCCCCCCCCCAGCCGCGCCCCGCCCCGCCCAGCGCACGGCTTGAAGAGCTGGAGCGCGCCCCTCTGCTCCCGCGTCCGGCTCAGCGGGGCACCACGCGGAGGCCACGCGCTCCGCGCCTCATCACACGCCTGGGTCCGCGAGCGCCGGGCGCTCCCCCGGCTGGGGCATGGGTGCGGACGCGCCTCCCTGCCGCGCGCTCGCAGGCTGGGCGAGGGGCAGGTCCTGGGACAGGGATGCTCGCCGGCGGAGCTGGTAAGCCGCGGCGCTCGGGAGCCGTCAGCTCGCGCGGAGCTGGGAACCCTGGGACTGGCACGTGGCCCCGCCTCCTGTTCCCCCCGCAAGGCGTGCCCGGTGCCCTTTCGGCCGCCACCCCTCTGGTCTCGGCGCCCGCCTCCCCCCACCCCCCCCCATCACGCCAGCGCGCAGAACGAACCTGCGAGGCGGTAGCGCCTCTCGTCTCACCTTCCCAGCGTCCTAGCCTACTGCGCTCCTCTTGCACCCGTTAAAAAGTTGAACTTGGGCAAGGAGGTAGAGGGGGTACGCGAAAGAAATCGAGGGAGGAGAGTTAGGCACCTGCCTCGTGAATACGAAAGCGTTAAAACAAACACTCGAGTTTGGGGATCCCGGAAAAAAGTAATTTGGGTTGCTGGGCTCACTAACAGCCATCCTTGCAGGCTCGAGCTGAAAGGGCCATTTATGCTTTGCTCGGTTGAGTCTGTGGCGACTTTATCCTTACTAATCTGTGTTTGCCAGCAGCAGATATTTGCCAAGTTGGCGTTCCGGCCAGGAAGCAACTTTGCGTACCCAGGCCTACTGGAGCAGCCTTCCTGCGGCGCCTCAGACCCGAGAGGCCAAGCTCCTTCAAGAGTCTGATGGTAGATTGTGAGCTTTTGGGACAGGAAAACCTAACAGTGTTGTTCGATTTTTCTCTAAGGCTGATTGGCATTGTATTCAATAAATACATACACGACGGGAGCATAATTGTTTACGTTACAGCTTTTAGAAAAGCAAAAGTCATGTCAAGCAGAAATTCCAGAAGCTGAAATGCCGCCACTGCGCACAAATGTTACAGGTTTAAACACTGAAAAAAAAAAAAAAAAAAAAAAAGCCAAGTCAGGACATTCTTTTCTTCCCCCGAACCGAATTTCAGAAATAGGTTGGGATACTCCGCACTTAGATAAGAAACCAGAAATTTTTTTATTGTATATGTTATTGCTTAATGATAAATGGGAAAAATACTAATAAACATAATTGTTCTCATTTTATTAATGTTCCTATATTTAGTAAGTCCAGGATCTAAAGTCCGTTCTTTAGAATGTTCACTGATGTAGAGCCTTTCAAATGCCTATTTCCAAAAAGAATGCGCTTGCTTGCTTTCTTTGCAGATTAGAAATTTGAAATTTTGTGAAAAACGCTAGAAATATGTTCTCAGTCATTGTACCTGGCCTAAGGAGATGACCGCTCTCTATATTTGCTTTTTATTTAACTTGCATTTTAAAAACCTAAAAATAATAAACATTAAACATAACATAATGACCTGACATAAGAGAACTTAAGCATTACTTTAATAGCTCTGTTCCCTCAAGTGTGAAGCTTCAAGCTATTGTTCAAGCAATTGCAAGCCTTTGTTTTGATAATACACATGTAAACTCTTGGTTAAAAAAGTCCTTAGAAATTAAGCAAAAAACTTTTATTTTATGCAAAACTTTCTAAAATTTATGTCACATTCCTTTGCTTAATAAAAACATATAAACTGAGCATCAGGTGAGATTTTTGTCAGACTTCTGGAAAGAAAATGCATTACTATATATGTGTGGAATATGCCCCTGTGTATTGCTGTGTGTCTCTTTTACCCCAGAACAACTGCTCAATAAGCAAGCACAGTACAAAGATGCTTTGTGATAAGAGGAACGTAATTTTCCATATATCCAATTTTAAAGTTTTGCCATTATTTTAATTTCTGATTTCTGTGGACTCTGACTTGCATTTGTAAGAACACTAAACCTGAGAGCATGCAAAATGAAGATCGTACACAAAGTCTGTAAGATAAAAACAGGCACACTATCATTTTTCCACTTTTTCCTTTTTGTTCTTTCCTTTTTCTTTTTCTTCCTTTCTTATTACCTTCTAAACATCTTGCTTTCAGTTTCATTTGTATGCTCTATGCTTATGTGCCATCATCACTGTTTTTATGTGTGCAAATTACTTTCATGTTTCATAATTTTTAATGTGTGCAAAATAGCTTTTTTTCCATTTTCATCATAATTTGATTTTATGCATTGTAGACTGTGTTAGAAAATGTTAACCTATGGCTCAAATTGTAACAGAGAAGAACTCTCGGAGGAACAAAGAGGGATTTCTGAAACTGTGGAGATAATGGAGATGGCTAGATCACCTGACAACTTCCAGATTCTCATCAAAAGATTTTTTTTAATTGTCTAAAAGAATATCTTATATAAAAGGCAAGCCGAAAAAAGCTTATACTTCTAATAATTTTGATTACATGATTGTACACATCATTAGCTTATTCTGTATGCCCTTCTAAAGCAATATTTATTTTCATTCTTAGAAAATGTCATCAATGAAACTTTGCTCTCTAATCTAATACCCTATACGTTAAATCTTTTAAAATAATTTCCAAAACTTCACGATGAACACTGTTCAGAGTTAGTTGTAGAAAACTTATGGATGTAGTAAATGTTTTGGCCTTTGGCCTTGAGAACTGGAAACTTTGCCATATTGGATTATTATATAGCCCGATATCGAGTCTCAGTGATCCAACCAAGACTTTAAAGGAGAGGAAGGTGGTGCTGCATGACATCAAAGGTAAGGCTGTGTCCACAACAGCTTCCTTTCCCACCGATTTTGCAGGTGTTACTTATTACAGCCTTTCTATATTTAGCCTATAATGCCTCCCGGAACTAAAGAGTTTTATCATATATTGCAATTATAGCACCATAATTTATTTAACCTAAATATGTCGCCAGCTCCAGGCAATACCAACCAGCTCTTTCAGAACTAGGTGAATGTGGTCATGTTTACCATATCCGCTTTACACTTTTATAGATGCTAATCTTCACCCATCTTTTTATTATCACTTATCTATACCAGCTCTCAGATCCATCGAACATAATTCTAAAATATCAAAGTTTCCTAACCTGTATTTCATCATCCTGGTACCATGGTCTGTGTGCTTCCCAAAGTAAACATGAATTAATCTGCATAGTCAACTTGCATTTATTGGGAAGGTTAAAGACTCCCAGAATCCGTTATTATTATTTTTTTTAGGATTACACCCTCTGCTTTTTAACATAAAAAAATTAATTGTATTGTTTTCAGAAAAGAAATAAGGGACTTGACTTTGAAGATTGGTATAAGCAAGTATTTCTGACTCATTTCATGTAGTACTCTTGAGATCATAGTGCTTCACTTTCTCAGACTTTGGCTCTAAAATAAAATTGTTAAGTATAATATGCTTGTCTTAAGTGTCAGCCCTAAGCCTGACCCTCCCAAGGTCTGCAAAGTAAGTAGATTTCTGTGTCAATGAAAAACAATAAACACCCAGGACTTTGGCCCTAGTGTTCAGCCTTATTATGTTACCTGTGCATATTTTACTTTATATTTGGAATCCTGTTTCGAATATCTCTATTCTTGCCTTGTTTTTCATTCGTTGCTTTCCTTATTTTCATGTAGCAAAGAACTATGTTGTAGTAAATAAACTGTGTGAAGGAATATTTCATAAAAACGGCAAGCCAGGTAGAAAAGAACCTACTTCCGTGACAACATATTTCTATAATGTGAGGATATCAAGACTGCGTGGGTCTTTCCAGGGTATAATTGGAAGTTGAGGTTATTATTATAAAGCAGACACAAACTACTTTTAAAATTGTTTTTAAAATGTGATGGCTAGATGCACCTAGTTTTATTTACCAATTACTTACCCTTTCATGCCATAAATAATCCTGTCTATCAGACCTTCTTCCCGAAACCATTTGGTTAAAACTTCCTTACCGTTAAAACATATCTAGAGCTTCAGAAACCTGTTATAACCCTGATCAAGTAGGAATTTTTACAAAACATGGATAGAGTAAAATGGCTTTCTAAGTTTATGCTTTTACATAACTTGTGTTTCACACAAAAATTAATGACTGATACAATATAGAAGAATAAAGCATACCAATTAGACACATAGAGAAATTAAGAAATAAGGTAAACATCCTCTTGAACTAGAAATAGGACCAAAATGCAAAACAGGGATCCAAGTGGGGGCCAAGGGTTGTGACTTCCAGGACTAGACACAGATAGTGGTCTTTGGACTAAAGGTGGTTGCAACAGACAGACAAACCCATCATTCTCACCTCCTGGCATCATGCTTTTTATAATCCCCTCCATTTGTGTGTAGGTAGGACTTTGTCTTGCTTCTAGCCATTAGAATAGAACAAAGATAAAGGGAATTTTCTTACATTCGGACCACAAATCTGGAGGATGTTGAGTTAATCAAAAGGGAGATTATCCTGGGTAGGTGTAACTTTAAGGATATCAGGTAAAAGCCCTTCAAAGAGGAACTGGGCACTCCATAAGGAGAGAGACTCTTTTTGCAGGCTTGGTGAAATGAGCAGCCATGTTGGGGAAGTCCTCATGGCAAAGAACTATGGGCAGCTTCAAGGATCTGAGAGTGGGTTTGAACCAAAAGCTCTCAAGGAGTTGTGGTCCTCAGTCATATAGCTGCTAAAAATGAATTCTGCCAACAATTGAATGAGCTTTAACATATTTACTTGTCCAGTCAGAAGGCAGCCTGGCCAATACCTAGAATGCAGCCTTGAGAAACCCCTGGTCACAAGACCCAGGCAACTCACGCTCAGATCCCTTATCTACCAAATGGTGAGATGACAAATGTGTGTTGTTTTAGCCTACTAAGTTTGTGGTACTGTGTTAAACAGCACTTGGTAACTAATTCAGTACTCTGTACAGGAAAAGGACAAAACCAGATTTACTCCTTGAACCCAGGAGTGGGCCAGGACTCCCACACATGTGCACAGAGTCTGAATAAAAAGGCTAGAAGCCTGGCTACGTAGAAAACAGTGACTGTATGGATGTCTGAAAACTCAAACCTAGGAATCAAATCAAGTTGCTAGCTGACTTTAGTGGCTGGACTTTTGATATCCACAATATTTACCCACAGCAGGAGCCTTAAAATGGTGTTATTAAACTTGGTTGTGGATTGGTAGCTCAGGAGTGCCAGGCTATCTATAGGTACTGAAAATGACTAGGTAAGAAAAAAATTCCTCTCCAGTTAAAATAAAATGTATCCTAAAATCCAAAGACACACAAAGAACTCTAATGTTAAGAAAAGCAAACAAAAACCATAGTGCCCCAAGCCTGAATTCTTTGTAAATAATTTGTTTAATGTTTATTTATTTTTGCAGCAGAGCACAAGCAGGGGAGGGACAGAGGGAGAGGGAGGCATAGAATCCTAAGCAGCCTCTAGGCTCTGTCAGCACAGAGCCGGACATGGGTCTTGAACTCATGAACCATGAAATCATGACCTGAGCTGAAGTTAGACACTTAACGGACTGAGCCACTCAGACGCCTCCGTAGATAAAATTAATGGAGCTATTTGACAAAGGTTTTAAAACACTTAATGAAGGAATAAATCTATTAAAACTAAAAATTAAAAAATTCCTTTTGAAATAGTAAAGTAAAAACCTATCTCAAAAAAGTTTGAACATGAAAAAAGTGGAAATCTTAAAAATGCACTCTTTGGAATAAATTCTTCACATTTGTGAAGAGAAATTAGTAAATCTTAAGATTGTTCTGAGAAATTCCTTCAGGATGGAGGAGAGAAACACACACACACACACACAAGTTAAGAGACCTGGAGAATATGTTAACTTAATGATACATATAGAGTTTCAGAAGAAAAGAAAGGCGAGAATATCAAAAGAAATAAATAATAACTAATGATAATAACTAATAAATAAATAATAACTAAAGATTTTTGAGAATTGAAGAAAGATTATATCCTCAAACCTTAATCCTTAACCCATGTCAGGTTGTTATTAGACATAGCAAATAGCACCT